GTTCGAGGCCAGGAAACGCGAGCTGGAGCAGAGTGTGGTCGCCATCACGAAGCAATTGTTCGAGAAGGTTCAGCAGTCTGTGGACCAGATCAAAGCTTCCCACCGCCAGCACATGTCCAAGCTCCACAAGAGGAAGCCTGAAGAGACTTCCGTCCAGCCTGCCGAGAAGATCGCGCGGGGCAGCAGCCCCGCTGGGGCTCGTCCACCGCAGGAGCTTGGAGATGCAGCGGATGGAGTTCATGAGGACTCCGCCAGTGGAGGAGGAAGTGCAGACAGCAGCTCTTCTGGAGACCACGGGGGAGCTCATGAGGCTGATGCTGCCCCACACCCTGACGTTCGGCAGCTCGCACCGGAGATGCTCGCCAACAGGATGCAGCCTGAGCCGCCTTCTCAAACAACCCCCCCCCGACGCCTAAGGCTCACATGAGCAGCGTGTCGGGGGGTGACTTTTTGCATGTTTCACCTTCTATTGCCAGGCTGTGCCGTGTTCCCGCCCCCAAGGCTCCGTCCTTGAATTTTGGCAGTTGTCTCTGGGCCCCAGCTTGCTCGGATCTCGACAGTTTTGATTTGGTCGTGGAGACAGCTAACTGCACGGGTTGGAATGCGGCGAAAGCGTGGTTGAGTCGCACGACGGCTCATGTGGTGCTTGTTCAAGAACATCATCTTCTGGGTGGTCTGGTTGGCGAGGCCTCCCACTGGGGCCTCCGCTCAGGCTGGAAGTCCAGGCTCGTCCCAGCGGCCCCAGGCATAGGGCTCGGGACCTCTGGAGGAGTGGGCATCTTCGTCAGGGACTTCTTGGGTTGCCATGACGTCTCGCCTAAGGTGGGCCCCACTCTGGTTCCTCATCGTGCTGCCTCAGCTATTGTTCAGATCCCAGGCGGAGTCTCTATCCTTGCGGTCTCCGCGTATCTCAGGGACCCCGAGGGCCTCTCCGAGTCCAATCTGGGTATCTTGTGCAAGCTTGGTGCTGAATTATCACCTTTTCCTGGTCCGTTCATCTTGGGTGCGGACTTCCAGATGGAGCCTGATGTTCTGGCTTCATGCGATTTGGTCTCGGTGCTCAGTGCCAACCTGGTCGCGCCTGAATCCAAAGGCACCTGCACGGGCACGAGCAAGGAAGGAGTCCGCATGCTCGACTATTTCCTGATTTCCAGCGGACTCTCGCAGGCCGTGAAGGCCACCCGTGTCTGCTTGGAGGCGGCCACCAAGCCGCACAAGCCCGTGCAGTTGAGCTTCTTCCCTCAGCTGGCCAGCTTGCAGGCTTTGGGGTTTGTTAACCCTCCCCCCACCCCGATTGAGCCCCCTATTGGCCCTGCCCCTGCCCCTCAAGACTGGAAGGATGTTTTAGACTGTGCGTATTATGGTTTGGGGTTGGTTCGTAACCGTGTCCCCAGACAGTGCTTGCAGCGCCACCTTAGTATGTTATATAAACTTTGGGCAAACACGGCGGAGAGAGAGTTGGCCGCTAATCGTCAGTGTTCTCTTCCTGTTTTAGGCACCCGCGGCAGGTTGCCCAAGCTTGCATGGCGCTCTGTTTTGGATAAGGATAGGCGCACTCCCCGTCAGCCTGATGTGTACGGAGTTCGTTGTTTGGAGAGCACCCTGCGCATTTTCTGCTCGAACCTCGGCTGCGACGTGAAGGGCTCGGCCCTCGACTCTGGCAACTTCCTCCTCCACCCCCCCCGACATCATAGCCGACAGCATGGGTGTCTGCCAGGGCAGCTGGGATAAGGTGCAACATTTTGTTCAACGGTGTATGAGATCGAATCCTCCCTCTTGCCGTGGAAAAAAAAAGCAACCTGTTCAACTCGACCAAGGGCGACGGTTCTATTGGTTGCACTCCTCGTGATGATCCTGGTGGGACCGAAGTTTTAGAAGGTTTGATTATTGATGGTGCTAGTATCCTGGACGAGGTTTCGGGGTTCCTGGGTGATTTTTCCATCAAGCAGCGCGATGTGGCGAACAAGTCTTGGAAGCCTTGGATCCTGGAAGGTGTTTCAAAAGGTGCCCGAAGAGCCCATTGGTGGACCAAAGAAGTCGCCCCTTGGTCCCCATGTTCTACTCTTTCGGCTAAGGGTGTTGTTTTATATGATCCCCAAGCTCTTCTTCATTCGGAGGCTGCTCGTTTCTGTGGGTTATGGAAGGCCACGTTGGAGCCCCCCAAGCAAGAGCCCATCGAGCATCAGGATCCGCTCCCCTTCGAGTCGCCCGACTTGCTGAGAGAAGTTGCCATGTCGTACCCCACTCGCACGGCCACCAGTGTCGGCGGCTTCCATATGCGACACTATGCCTCGCTCTGTGATGACGCGCTGGTGGCGTTAATGAGTATTATCAGCATCATGGAAGCATCCTCCCTTTTGCCTAACCACCTGCGAGCCATCATGGTTGCGCTTCTGCCCAAGCCTGCTGGCGGTTGGAGACCCATCGGATTGTTTAGCTCGGCATATCGGTTATGGGGGAGGATGAGGAGACCGTACGCTGTCCAATGGTAGGCCAGGTTCAATAAATCGTACCTCAGTGCAGGAGCTTTCACTGGGGCTGGGGATGTTGTATGGAGGCAAGCTGTGCGTTCGGAACATGCGATGAGCAGGAAGGATAAGATGGGTGTTGCGTGCTCTGTGTTATGGGACCTCCACAAGTTTTACGAATCTATTAGGCTCGATATTCTTCTGCAGAGGTGTGATGACTTAGGATTCCCTCCTCCTGTTTCACGACTCTGCATGGCGGCCTATAGAGGCCCGAGGTTCATCAACATCAGCGGGATCGTGAAAGGGCCTTTTTTTTTCGCCTGGCAAGGAGCCATTGCGGGAGATTCCTTTGCCACTACTTTCGCGAGGGTCTCTGCCATTCCCACGATCGACCTGCTGCTGCAGAAAGTCCGCGATGCCCTCGATATATATATATATATATATATATATATATCGATGATTACGGATTGCAAGCTACGGGTTCGGCCAGATCAGTCGTCGATGACATTGTCACGGGGGCCACTCAATTGTATTCGGTTCTGTCGGACGATATGCAGGTGGTGGTTTCTGAGGGTAAGGCGTCTGTGATCTGCTCCGGCCAGGCTGTCGGCAACAAGATCAGGTCACGTTTGGGGCATGTGGGTGGACCCTCATGTATTTCTTATGCTGTGAATCTAGGAGTTGATGACACTGCTGGTCGGCCCCGACGGCAAGCTGGGCGCGGCCGCAAATTTTCTGTTAGGTGCAAAGCTTTCAAGCAGAGGGTCGCCCGACTCAAGAGGTTGAGAGGCATCCTGGGTCAGCGGCATTGCAGAAAAGTTTTCACGTCGGGGCCCCTGGCGGGCGTCACGTACGGTTCGGAGGTCCACGGAGTTTCCGACTTCGAGCTGCAGGGGCTCCGCCAGGGGCTCGGTAGGGTCCTCAAACCTTCCGCTGGCACGAGGTCCCTCACGTCCCTGCTCATCCTTGAGAGGGACCCTACTGCTACCTACGCTGTCGCTCCTGTCATTCGTTACAGCAAGGAGGTCTGGGCCAACCAGGTTCGGATTTTCAAGTACCCCCTTGATTTCAGGTTTCTGCGCGAAGCCTGGGAGACCATCTTCATCAGGGACCCTGACGATAAGGTCCTCTCGTGGCGTACTGTTGCTGGGCCTTTGGGGGCCATGCAGCTCTCTCTGCAGCGTATCCACTGGGGTATGAAGTCGTTCACTGAGCTCATTAATGATTTCGGGGGAACTATTGGGCTCACGTCTGTTTCCCCCTCCCTGGTCAAAAAGCTGTTGGTTGAAGGGGTCCTCCGCCAGCTGCAGAGAGACTCAGGCCAGGCGTTAGGTGTTGGCAAGCGCTTGTGCTACGATGTGGTGGAGGCCCAGCTCCACTCTAGCAAATTCACGGCCCTCGAGAAGGGCAGTATCCGCGGGCTTAGCTGTGGGGCGACCTGGACCAGGGACCGTGCGATCGCCCTGGGCTACCAGCTCGACTCCGATCTCTGCTCTTTGTGCCTGGCTGCTTCTGACAGCCTCATGCACCGCCTGTGGTTCTGCCCCAACGTCCAGGAAGATCGCGACGACCTTGTGAAAGATCGGATCCAGCAAGATGCTCGGTCGTGCGATCTTTCTGATCCTGCTACCCTCCTCCTCTACACTAAGGGTCTGTTCCCGCACCCAGGTGACTCGGTTCCCCGTCCTCGTGGTGAAGGAGGTACCCAGACCAGGCGGGAAGGAGATCCTGATAGGGTCGATACGGCGGTCTCGGGTCATATGTTCATGGACGGCAGCTGTCAGAGACACATCATTAAAGAGTTATCCAGAGCAAGCTGGGGTTTTACAGCCCACGCAGACGACGGTTCTAAATTGTTTAGTGCGTTTGGGCCTATGTGGGCCCCCCTCCCCCAGACCAGCCAGGCTGGGGAGTACGGGGCCCTCGAAGCTTCCTCCCAGTGCCTTGTTGGCCCCTCTACTGGCTACTCCGACTGTCTCAACGTTGTTCGTGCCCACGGTGAGCCCCCCGCCATTAAGCTGTCCCATAAGAGGCCTTATGCGGGGCTCATGTTTTCTAGCTTTTCTTCGTGGTGGACGGGAACCCTCCACAAAGTCAAAGCCCATGTTGTGGACTCGGATGACCTGTCCGATAGGGACCGATTTTTTGAAAATTGGTAATGATGCTGCTGATGAGGCTGCCAAGGCTGGCCTCGCCACGCATCCTAGGCCCACGGACGCCCAACTGACCGACCTGGCGCGCAAAATCAGCGTTGCGAAGGCTGTTTGCCGCCTGGCCGCTCGGATTTTGCCGCTGTGGCCTCGTCTCGACCTCAGCGGGGTTGTGCTGGCCAGGCCCCCTAAGGAAATCAAAGTGAAACCTGGCACGGAGTTTGAGCATGTGTGGGAGTGGTGCCGCTCCTATTGGCGTTGTGGTGTTTGCTTGCGCACTAAGCATCCCACTCCGTTAATTTTCGGTAGTTCAGGCAAGCCTGCATGTGAGGGTTGTTCTGGCGTTATTCCCGGCACTTTGCGGCAGGTCTCGGCTCTCGGACACAAGCTTTTATCCTTCCAGTGCAGCGATGACTCGCCGTTGTTCGTTTGTGTCAGTTGTAAGGCTGTCTCGACCCTGGGTCCTCTGGCTCTCCTGGGTAAGAAGTGCGGGCGCCCTACCAGGAACAATGCTGGGAGATGGGAGTACAGAATATGTAAGGGTCGGCACCCACGACTTCATGGTGTGTCCGTTGAAATCTCACCAGAAGTTGTGAATGCACACCCTGGCTCGCAGGAAGAAATTGTCGTTGATTCGTCGTCCGTGCAACCTGCGAGCCAGGAGCTGCAGCAGATTAACACTGTCGTTGAGTCTTCGTCTGTCGATACTGCTGCTGCAGCAATCTCAGTGAGTGGCCCAAGTGGCCCGAGCAGCTTCGCCCGCATCAGTCTTATGCAGGATGGCACCATTTTGCCGTTCGCGGGAGATGGGCAGCAGCGTGAGGAGGTCGTTGACCAGTCGTCTGTCGTGCAGGTCGTGGTTGCTGCTGCCACTCCCCAGGTGTCCCACTCGACCCCTGCAGCCCAGGGGTCGAGGATCCGCCCTTTGTCTGATTCTAGTGGTGAAGTTCGGCCCTACAAGTTGGCTCGACACGCCGCCAATTGTGCCGAGTCAGTGCAGCAGGCTGGTTACTCTTTTCCCTCGGCTCCCTCCAACGAGAGATGGGGCTAGGGGTCGCGAGCTGTTCTGTGAGGATGGTGCGGAGGGTCCTCACGCGCTCACTGTGAGCGCCCAAGGTTTGTTTCATAGCCCGTCCCCAACTTTTGATTCGGATGGTATCGAAATCCACGGTCTCAGAGCGCCTTCCCACGTAGGGTCGTATCGATGTAGTATTTTGTCCCACTCGACCCCTGCAGACCAGGGGTCGAGGATCCGCTCCGCCTCCGATTCTGGTGCCGAGTCTCGGCCCAACAAGTTTGCTCGTCACGCCGCCAATCGTGACGAGTCAGTGCAGCAGGCGGTGAATTTTTTTCCCTCGGCTCCCTCCAACGAGAGTGGGGCGAGGGGCCGCGAGACGAGCTGTGAGGATGGTGCGGAGGGTCCTCGCTCGAAAGCTGCTCGCGTGAGCTATGAGCCCAGATGTGGCTCGAACTAGCTCTTTTTGTCGGGGCCCATGGGTTGCTGCCGAAGTCAGCCACCGCATGAGGTCACCGCTTGGGTCCTAGCCTGAGACCAGGCTAGGAAAAGGTCCAGGTGAAAAATCCTCCTCCTACACCTCCTCCTCCACCGCCTCTGGCCACCCGGACCTGGCACGCCCTCCGAGATTCCGGCCGCACATCGCCGCATGTAGCTTCTCTGGGATGGGGGATTTCGACTCTGGTGTATGATTTGGCTTGTTTGTAACTTCACTTCGCCCGCTCCTCCTCGTCCTCCTCCCTTTCCCCTCCCGCTCCTCTCCTGTTTCCTGCTTCACGGTCATGATGCGCACCGCTGTTCTGCTTCACAGTCGAGAGGGTGCACGTCAGATTTCCGCGAAGAGCTGCCAATCGGATCGTGCACTCTTCTGTCCACGCGCCCTTCCGGATGCTCGGGCCACACAGCCAGCAGGTGCTGGCCGCGCTGCAAAAAGGAAGAACCTGATCTTGGGCGCCCTTTCGGGACCCTCCTCTGGGATGACCGTGGGGGTTTCTGAGTGGATAGGGGGGTGGCAAGTGGATGCCGAGGTGGGGTATATCTGGCCCAACCTGGCGGATGAGTGGGTCACAAATGCCCCGAGTGGCCGGGCGAAGTGGGCTCCGCCCACTTCGCGGAGTTATCTAAGCCCCCGACAAGCCACCCGGGGCACTTGTAACCCACTCATCTGCCAGGTTGGGCCAGAGATAACCCGCCTCGGCATCCACTTGTAGCCCCCCTATCCGCTCAGCAACCCCCACGGCCATCCCAGCTGGTGCCCAGCTTCGCTCGGGCCCGCGGAGGCAGGTCCGGCCAGGGGCCTGGGGACGCAGCGGCCCGCCTCTGGGAAGGGGTCCGAGGGCGAGGCAGTGCAGCCACTGAGGGGGTCGCCGCCTCCTCCCTGGCAACGGTCCCCCCCCTCCGCTGGACCCCCGCCCCCCCAGGATCGAATCGGGCCGATCCCTCTACAGGAGAAATATTCAAACAAAAAACTCTTACAAAAAGTCAGGGGACGATCTTTGGACTATGTTTGCACATATTTTTGTTGAGTATGTTCGAAATGTTTTTGTTGTTGTTGATGTAATCCGCCTGTGGGGGGACATGCCCGACCCCCCTCCCCCTCCAGGACCCGCCGCCACTCCTGCAGACGGTCACTCCCTCCTCGACCCTCGACTCCCACGGAAAGGCGGTGGGCCCCCCAGGTGGTGACCCCCCCGCGGGCACTGCCCGAGAGACGTCCCCCGGGGGGCCCACGCACCGAGCACAACTCGAAGCGCCGGCTGACCGGACCTCCACGGCCGCTCGCACCCGAAGGACCGCCGCCCGACAGTCGCGGGGGCCAGAGGTCCTCCCGTCCACGGCGGCACGCCCCTGGCGACGCCCAGATGGTGGGGCACCGAGCCCTCCCCTGTCCCCGCAGGCGGCGAACGTGTCCACGTCCGCGCCCTCGCGCTCTGCACTCCGGGGCGCGATCCCGTGGATGCTCAGGGGCACAAATACGTGACTGTTTCTAGGTTCCGTGCGGGGTCGCGGCCCGGCGCCGGCCCGGGAGGACGAGGAGGAGGAGGAGGAGGAGGAGGAGGAGGAGGAGGAGGAGGAGGAGGAGGAGGAGGGGAGGAGGAGGAGGAGAGGAGGAGGGGGAGGAGGAGGAGGAGGGAGGAGGACTAGGAGGAGGAGGAGGAGGAGGAGGAGGAGGAGATGGAGGGGGAGGAGGAGGAGGAGGAGGGGTCTCGTATCCATGGGGTCGCGGCCCGGGCGCCCGACCCGCGAGGCCGCAGAGAAGCATGGCCCCCGCCCACGGTCTCGCCCCCCGGCGGGCGGAGCTTCAGAGGCGGCCCGCACGCACGGCGCCTCCGTCTCGGCCACCTCGGCCTCGAGCTCCTGGAGCCTGTTGACCACCTCTGCGCCGGCCCCCCGCGGCGGCGGCCCGCAATCGCGCGTGCCGCCGCGCCCCTGCCAGAGAGGGGCAGGGCCCCAGCACGGCATGCTGCGGCGCCTGCCTGGGCACGCCCGGCAGCGCCCCAGATGCGGGCCTCGGCCACGGCTGCAGTCGGGGCGCGGACCTGAGGAAGCCTGAATAGGGAACGAGGCCCCTTTTCTCCAGAAGTTGAACTTCGAATTCCCTTCGAAGACCTTTAAGGAAGACGTGGGGCAAACTGTGAAACAATGAAGGAACACGGAGCCCCCACCCAACGAACAGAGTTCCTTCTTCAGCGCCCCGACTGTAGGTTCCAACCGCAAGCGGGGAACCCCAAAGGTACCCACACCGCTACTCCCCGGACCTCTCCCGGGGTGCGCTCTGACCAGGACGTCGAAGCGAATCCAGCGGTGGCGACGCGGGCCGCCCAGAGGAGGCCCAGCAGGGGGGAAACGAGGCGAGGGGCGAGGGCAGAGTTATGGGTACCTCTTCCTCCTCCGAAGGCACCAGGGAGCCTCCTGAGCTCCAAATGGTCCTTTCTTCAACGCCCTGGCCGACAAGCCGTCTCGTGCTGCCGCACAGGGCGCCCACGTGACCGGAGCGCATACGGGCTTCCCCCGGCCACAGCGAGAGGCCCCCTCCCCCAAACCCCCGAGAGAGACCAGGCGCCTCGAGGCAGTCACGCCCGCAGCCCCCGACCCCCCAGGGCTCGAGCTAAACGGTCTTTGTCGTTTTCGCTTTGTTTTCGTGTTCCCTGGGTCTGACTTCGTTGCACCTCTGCTGCGAAGCAGGATCAAAACGAAAACGATCCACGAAATCAGCAAAATTCCGTTTAGCTCGAGCCCTGCGACCCCCCCCCTCTGCGGCCTCCCTCTCGATCCAAATCGGAGACCTGCCGAACACAGCCTGATCCGGCGGCGAGCGAGGGGGAAGTGAGAAGGAGAAGGCCCTCTTACAGTCAACCCGTATCAGAAAGATGCACGGTGAGGGTGCAAGGGCCCTTGGAGGCCCATGTCCACGTTTGTCGAATGAGGTTGGCCAGCGAAAGTCGCTAAGGATGGGCCGAAGGGGCAATGATGCCGGGGTACCCTTGGGAACGCCGCCCATCCCTAATATGCGGGTTGACTGCAGAGGACGGCGGGGCCTACCAGCCCGCCAGCCTTCCGATAGGCCATTTGTGTGAGCCTCCGGGGAGAGCTTCGAGAACTTCTCAGAAGGCCACAGGACTCCCGAGCCTTCTAGTGTTAAGTCGGGCGTGTCCCTCTACAGGAGGAGTATTCAAAATTAGTCCAAACATAGTCTGGACACGATTTTGTTTTACAAAACAATGTGTTTTACTATTTCTGAATATTTTTTGTGTATTTCCTATGTTTCGTACACAGCCCGCCTGTGGGAGGACATGCCCGACCCAATTCTGGAAGGGAGGCACGCCACCTCCCCACCCCCCTGTCGCCGATCTATCGGCGATGTATCGCCGGTTCCAGGTCGATGTGCTCCCCCCTGTGCCAGCCCCCCCCCCTACAGTCGGGGCGTTGACCTGAGGAACGATAAATAAGGAACGAGGCCCCTTGTCTCGAGAAGTAAACCTTCGATTTCCCATCGAAAACAGAAGGAAAACCTGAGGCAAGCTGTCAAACGATTAAGGAACACGGAGCCCCTCCCCAACGAAAAGGGTTCCTTCTTCGGGGCCCCGAATGTATCGCTGCCCCTCAGGGCCAGGGGACCTCGGGACCTCGAACATCGCCTGGGCCCTGGCCACCTTCGGCCTCGCCGGGAGGGGCGGCCGCCGCGGCCCCGCGGGTCGGCTGTTCGTCGAGGCCCGCCCCCCGGGCGCGCCGCGGCGACTGGCGTGCCCAGGACGCGAGGCGGACCACTGCTATGTCGGGCGTGTCCCCCTACAGGGGGATTTGCGACGAAACATAAACACTACCCCCAAAATTACCCCGAGAAGGCCAAAACATGTTCAAAAAAAGAGCCCCCAGACAATTTTTGGACTATGTTTTGATTTTCAGGGTTTTTTTCATCCTTCGTCGAAAATCCCCCCGTAGGGGGGCGGGCCCGACTTCAGACCACTGGGCCCCGGCGCCGCGCGCCCCCGCAGCATGCACGACGAGAGCGCTCCGCGGCGCCCCGCGGGGCTCCCCCGGGGCGCAGGCCCAGGCCTGCGCTCCTCGGCCGCGGGGGGCCGCGGAGGAGGGGAGAGAAAACGCCACACAGTTGAAGTCGGGCCTGTCCCCCTACAGGGGATTTTGGACGAGAAATAGAAAATATCACATTGAAAAAACAACATAATCCAAAAATAGTCTGGGGATATTCGTTGAGTACTTTTTGGCCTCGTTGGGGTATCTTCTCTTTTTCGTCGAAAACCCCCTGTAGGGGGACAGGCCCGACATAACCATACAGTCTCGGACTCGATGGGACAGGACACGCGAGAGGACACAAGACCCTTCCGAGGGCCACCTTGCCGCAGGAATGTAGGAGGCATGGGTCGCGAGGCACAGGACACAAGGGTACCCTTGATTTGGCAGGGTCGCCCTACTACTCTGGGCCGACTGTGAGCATAAACTTTTGGCGCTCCGCGCGGGTTCCTTGGATTTGCGGTGCCCCTCCCCCCTTGTCTGGCGCGCGGAGCGCGCCGGGGGCGGCGCCGGAGGCGCCGCCAGGGGGGGGGGGCCCAGCGCGGATCCAAGAAATCTGCGCGGAGCGCCAGAAGTTTCTGCTCATGGCGTTCTCTCTTCTTCGAGCTCTGGCGTCCTCGACCCAAGGGCCCCCTCCCCGAGAGCGCGGATCCAAGAAACCCGCGCGGAGCGCCAGAAGTTTCTGCTCATGGCGTTCTTTCCTCTTCGAGCCCTGGCGTCCTCGACGTCCAAGGGCCCCCTCCCCGAGCCGCCAGCCCGACCGCGCAGCACGCCCAGCCGCCCCCCCTCCCCTCCCCGCGGCGCGCCGGCGGCGGCCGGGAGAGCACGCCTCGGCCCGCTTACGTCCCCCCGGGGCCGCCCGCAGCGGCTGCCCCCCGCGAGCTACAGTCGGGGCGTTGACCTAAGGAACGATAAAGAAGGAACGAGGCCCCTTTTCTCCATGAGTTGAGCTTCGATTTCCGATCGAATACAGAAGGAAAACCTGAGGCAAGCTGCGAAACACTTCAGGAACGCGGAGCCCCTCCCCAACGAAAAGGGTTCCTTCTTCAGGGCCCCGACTGTACTGAACGAAAGCGCACCGGGCCGGGAGACGACGGGGAGAGTTGACGGCGCACACGAGGGGTGGCGCGAGGGGGGGGATGCGTTCTGAGGAGGTGGGGCCTTCTGAGTGAGGCCCAGGGGGGCTTTTCAGAAGGCACTGCAGATACCCGGAGAGGGCCTCCGGGAGGCAGCCGGCTCTCTGAAAAGCCCGCTGCCCGAAGGCCGACGGCGGCGCTATAAGCCTCCCCTTGCGATTCTTGGCCACGGCGCGAAGATGTTTGGTTTTCGGGCCGCTCTGGTCTCTGGCTCCATGGCTGCCGCTCGGGAAGATCCAGTCACCCCCAGAAGGCTCTCGACGAGGCGCAGCTGCTTGCAACCCGAAGCGAGGAATGCTCCAGGAGCTATACAAAAACCACGACACCGACGTGAAGGCCGGAAGGGGCCCAATACAAGCTTTCCCCACGATGCTGGTCACGGCGCCAGGCCGCCTGGGGCAAGATCAGCCAGCGCCCCAAAGCGGGAACCCCGATCGAATCGGAAGGAATCGAACCGCGGCGCCAGGATGTTCAACAGCGCCATGCAAGCATCGGGCCGTATCGGACCGTCCCAAGATCGGAATCGAGTCGAATCGAATCGGGCCGCGGGGTGGGGTTCTTGTTTTCTCTGGACACCACCACTCAGATAAACGGGAACAGGAACAAGAGCACCCACCACATCATCATCGTTATCGTCATCGTCATTGTTGTCGTCATCACCATCATCATCAGCATCATCATTACCATCACCATAACCATAACCATAACCATCATCTTCATCAACATCAACATCATCATCATCATCATCATCATCATCATCATCATCATCATCATCATCATCACCATCACCATTAGCAGCACCATCACCATAATCATCGTCATCAGCATCGCCATCATAAACAGCAGAGATTACTGCAACACCAGCAGCAGCATCGTCATCACAATCATCAGTACCATCACCACCACTATCATCATTACCATCATCACCATCACCATCACCATCACCATCACCATCATCATCACTATAATCACTATCATCCCTGTCATCATCACATGCATTACCACCGACATCATCAACATCAACAACATCAACCACCACCACCACCACCATCACCATCACCATCATCACCAGCATCACCATCATCGTCACCATCATCGTCACCATCATCATCATCATCATCATCATCATCATCATCATCATCATCATCATCATCATCATCATCATCATCATCATCATCATCGGTTTCATCATTATCATCATCATCATCATCATCATCATCATCATCATCGTCATCATCATCATCATGAGCAGCATCATCCTCATCATCGCAAACTTCTCGTTTGGGCTCCTCGGGCTTGAATCTGGAGGAGGTCTCGAGCGGGAGCCGCGTCAATGCGTGAATGGCGAGGGAGTATCCAGCAGGAACCCCTCCACACAGTGTACCGCCTCCATGTTGGAATCCAAGCGTGGCCATGTGAACCCTTCAACAATATCATTGTTGGGCACCTCGGGCTTGAATCTGGAAAAAGTCTCAAGCGGGAGCCTGGTAAACGCGTGGATCTTGAAGACATCTTGAGCAACAGCCCTCTCTACGGGGTCCCCGCCTCCATAAAGGAATCCGAACGCGGCCATCCGAAACCAGTAATTGTCGTCACGGTTGGGCACATCGGGCTTGAATCTGGAGAATTCGGGCAGGAGCCTCGTCAGCGCGTGAATCGCAAGGGAACGGTGCCCCCGCCTCCAAATTGGAATCCGAGCGGGGCCACCCGAAACCCGTAACTGTCGTCACGGTTGGGCGCCTCGGGCTGAAGTCGAGAGGAGGACTCGAGCGGGAGCCTCGTCAGTGAACGGATAGAGAGGACGTCTCCGGCGGGAGCCCCTCCTCAAGGGGTCCACACTTCCACTCAGGAGCCCCAGCGAGGCCATCCACACCTTGTCACCGTCGTCATGTGTGGGCTTGTCGGGCTTGGATCGAGAGGAACTTTCGAGCGGGAGCCTCATCAGCGAGCGGACAGCGAGGAAGTTTCGAGGGCCCCCCCCCCCGCGCCATGTATGGAGTGCCCACCTCCACGTTGAAATCCGAGCGGGGTCATCCAAATCCAGTCGGGGCCATCAGTGTTGGGCAAATCTCGAGCGGGGTCACCCCCCTATGGGTCCCCATCTCCATGTTGGAATCCCCGCGTGGCCATCCAAATCCTGATGCTATCGTCACTTTTGGGCACGTTTCGAACGGAAACCCCTCCGTGTAGCGTCTCCGCCTCAGTGTTGCAATCTGGGCAGGGCCATCCAAATCCTGCAACTGATCACTCTGAGGCTCCTTAGGCATGACTTTGGAGGAAGTCTCCAGCGGTAGCCTCGTCAGCGATTGAATGGCGAGAGAGTCTTGAGCGGAACCCCCTCTGTATGGGGTCCCCGCCTCCGCCTTCGTATCCGAGCGGGGCAATGTTTGAGGCCCCCCAAGCATGAATCCCGAGGAAGTCTCCAGCGGGAGCCTCGCCGTGACAGATACCAGCACCTGATAACTTTCTCATCTCATACTCTGGCCCAGCGAGCAGGACAGGTCACGTGGCAGAGTCTTAGGACGCACGTCGCGCGCTGCTCGGGCTTCACCATGACGCGCGCGTCGCACCTCGCCTCCGCGCTGTCGCAGGGTCAGACGCTGCGCATAGGCGTCACCAGCGACTGCGCTAGGGACGGGGTCGCTGGCCGCACTACATGTCGGAACGCGGAACATGCTGGTCCTGCGGCCGCCCTCGCGCGAATTTTTGGAGCACGGGTGTCCTTGCGGAAGGCGCTGGGGGAATTCGACAAGGCAAGGCAAGGCAAGGCGATCTGCACGCCAGCTCCGGTGCCGGAGCGGTCCCCTGGAGGGCAGACGAAGAATCTCGCGCAGTATCGGCCAAACGCCGTATGGGCAAGCTCTTATCCACTCACCTGCGACAGTGCGCAAGGTTACAAAAGCAACAAGGCGGGGCGAAGGAGAACAAACACAAGGACATCCGCATGAGGGGTACAACTTCAAAGCACCTACTCAGGAGACCTACGCGCTTCTGTCAAAATCCCCTGCGATCTGTTGTGCTACAGCCCTGCCTTCTCACTAGGGGGGCGAGGGAGGGGGGGGGAGGAGGAAGGGAAAGACGAAGGGGAGGAATTCGCGGCGAACTCCAGGGCCCAGGTGGGGCATTTCGCAGTGGCAGGGGCCAAGCCTCGCGCCGTTCCCCGTCGGAACACGGCGGCGCCCCGCACGAAGCCCGCTGGGGTGGCCCCAGCGGCGTGCCGCAGCCGATACTCGGCGGCGCGCGGGCCTGTCCCGGCCCCTTCTGGCTTCGGATGGGGGAGAGGAGGCGACAGATTCGAGGAGGAGGAGGAGGAGGAAGGAGAGCAGGGAGCGGAAAGAGGGGCTCCGCCAGGGCGAATAGGGAGAGAAGGGCGAAGGGGAGACGAGAAGGGAAGCGCAGCACTCACAGGGACGACGATGAGGTTCGCTTCCAGATTCGTGTTCGTGCCGTTGGATGATTTGTTTGACGGTCCCGAAGCCTAAGAGTTAAACAGGGAACGACCGTCCCGACATTCCCAACAGGCCTACCACGCAATTCGCTGAGGACACAAAATGTTCTGAAATTAAGAAGTATGTCCTTAGAACAGTGAGCCGATATTCAAAATCGGACGATCTAGATCGGAAATGTCTCATAACATTTCGTGCAAACCACATAGGGCCCTTTGAACATTCTTTGATGGGCCCAGGCCAGCCAGGACGCGTCGCCACCCGCACCTTCCGAGCGGTTTGCTGGGCGGGTCGGGGATCGAGAAGTCCCATGAGGGCCCAAGAGGGGGGAGACGAACTGACATCCCCTACATCCTGGCGTTGTAATTGATCCACGCTGGGCGTTTTCGCTCGATTGCAGGTCCTGGGGCCCTCGCAGATCGATCTGGGCCGAAGAACGGCGCAGAAAGATGGGATCCGGGGCTCCAGTCGTGCTTTTGTTGCGATGTTGTAACTCTAGATGCCTCGTCGGATCTCAGGGGACGGCCCACGAGGGCCCCAAGAAGAGGGGGGGCACAACCTGCCATTGCGAGCCCTCCGCTCCAGTGCCCCAGAGGCCAGCAGACATCTGCGGCTCCTGACCCCTCCTCTGTTTCCGCTGTTTGCCGCGGCATGAGGGTCGTTCCCTGTGCCGCATCGGGGGCGCCGATGCGCCCATGCCAAGCCGCGCGCGCGGCCGACACGCTGGCGCCCTCGGCGCAGGGGGGGGGGCCCCGCCCAGGGGGAGAGGAAGGAGGCTGACCCCTCCTCTCCTGATCCTCCTCCTGCTCCTCCTCCTCCTCCTCCTCCTCCTCCTCCTCCTCCTCTTCCCGCTCCTCCCCCTCCTCCTTTTCCGCTCGCCGCTGCTGTGGAGGCGGCCCCCGATGGAGCCACCGCACGGGCACGAGAAGGGGGGCCCTCCCCGAGGGTGGCGCGGCTGCCACTTCCGCCACCGCGGGACGACCCGCACGAGATCCGCCCCGGGTGGCGCGAGCACCACTTCCGCCTCCTCCTCCTCCTCCTCCTCCTCCTCCTCCTCCTCCTCCTCCTCCTCCTCCTCCTCCTCCTCCTCCTCCTCCGCGGGGGCGCGCCTCCCCGCGGACGGCGAGGCACCGCGGACGGCGAGGCAGGCGGGCCGGAGACGAAGCCGCGCTCGAGCTTGGCCGCTCCTCTCCTGCGCGGGGAGGCCGCCTGACGAGATCGCAGCCCGGGCGGAAGGGGACGAGAACCCATTGAGCTGCCGAGACGCCTGCTGGGATGTCCGTGGGGGTTTCTGCATGGATCGGGGGGCTACGAGTGGATGCCAAGGTTGGTTATATCTGGCCCAACCTGGCATAGAAGTGGGTTACGAGTGCCTCAAGTAGCTTAGGGGGGTTAGATAACTCGGTTGAGTGGGCGGAGCCCACTTCGCCCGGATCGCTAACCCCCCTCGGTCGTCCCCGTGGGTCTGCTCATCGTCCTCTCCGGCAGGCCCCCGAGGGAGGCCCGCCGGAGAGGCCCGCAGGAGGGCCCGCAGGAGAGGCCGAGGGCCGGCGCGCCGGGCGCCTCGGCGACGGGGCCGCCGAGGCTGGCCCGCAGCCGCTCGATCTCGGCCGCCTGCGCGTCGTAGGTGGCCTCAGCGGTCGTCGTCGTCGTCGTCGTCGTCGTCGTCGTCGTCGTCGTCGTCGTCGTCGTCGTCGTCGTCGTCATCGGTCGTCGTCGGTCGTCGTCGTCGTCAACATCGGTCGTCGTCGGTCGTCGTCGGTCGTCGTCGTCCACGTCGTCGTCGTTGGTCGTCGTCGTCGTCGGTCGTCGACATCGGTTGACGTCGCCGTCGTCCGCTGTTCGTCGTCGTTGGTGGTCGTCGTCGGTTGTCGCCATCGGTCGACGTCGCCGTCGTCAGCCGTCCGTCGTCGGTCATCGGTCGTCGTTGTCAGGAGTTGTCGGACCTCGGTCGTCAGTCGTCGTCGTCGTCGTCGTCGTCGTCGTCGTCGTCGTCGTCGTCGTCGTCGTCGTCGTCGTCGTCGGTCGTCGCCATCGGTCGACGTCGCCGTCCTCCGTCGTTCGTCGTTCGTCGTCGTCGTTCGTCGTCGTGGGTGGTCGCCATCGGTCGACGTCGCCGTCGTCCGCCGTTCGTGTGGGGGGGCGAACTGAAGAGCGGCAGCGTCATCAGCCAGCAACTGTCCTCGAACTGTCCCTATAACGATGCCGATTCGACTCAACCGCAACTTGCCACAGAAATGGACCTGGCTCTCAGGGTTGCCAAACACTTTGGTATTATGGGAACTGTAAACCATAGCTTTGCCTACGCTCGTCTAGAAAAATTGCGTTGACCTCCAGGTCGGCCCAGCAACCTGACATGCTCATGCGCGAGTGGCATACCGAGTGACCCGCTGAATCAGCTCCATTGCTGAACAATATAGAAAATGGCCAAGATGGATATCGGAATCAATAGTCCACTGGTTGCGTGGTTGCCCCGTGACTGCCCAACGCTTGTCCCGTGGGTTGTCTCCTAGCAGTTCCGTGGGATGTCACGGGAGGAGAGAGACAGAGACAGAGAGAGGCGGACATGAACCAATCTCTGTCTGTGTATATGTGCGGCGATGTATATATATATATATATGCACATGTACATCTGAAAATCGATGTCTAATATTTACATGTGTATATATACACACATATGTGTGTACATCGACCGCCGCGCCGGCTGTTCCAGCGCGCGGCCTCACGTCTCGGAAAGAGCTCCTCGACCACCAAGGCGAACGCCGCCTCAGACGAAAGGTTTGCCGTTGGATTGCCGCGGTGTCGGCTTAGTCTACTTGAACGCGTTTATGATAAACGGCGCGGCGACACCTACACATGTACATACAGAGGGTTACCTAAATGGTACATAGAGAGAGGGAGAGAGAGACATGAGGAGGAGGAGCAGGTAGAGGATAATTCAACGAACACCCTGGCGGCTCGAACAATGGGCACCTGGGGCGGGCTCTGATGGCTTCTGAGGAGGGCTTCTGAGGATACAGCAGAGCTTCTGGAGAGGACCTTGCCTTCTCCCAAGACGGCGTCCTGCAGGGCGGACAGACTTGTAAAAGACCCCCTCCTCCTGAGAAGACCTCCCCGTGCACTCCCGGCCCCCCCCCCATGCGCTCCGCCGAGCACGGCTGCTGCATGCTGTCTCGCTCGGGAACGAGTGTGGAGAGAGGTGGACGAACACGAGAAAGGAGGAGGAGGACCAGCACACAGAGCAGGAGGACTGCAAGGAAAGCAAGACCCATGTTGCCCCCTAGCTGCGAGGACTGCAGCAGGCTCGTAGGAGTGGCTCGGTGGCTGCAAGGGGGAGGATGGCAGGGAGGGCGAGGCGGAGAACGAGGAGGTCTAGGAGCAGGAGGGGCAGGCGGGGGACCAGGTGTGCCTGCCGGCAGGGCGAATGGACGGAGCCCACATCTCTGAGCCCGCCGAGCCGCTGAGCGGGGGGGCCCGCAGCCGGTCGAGCAAGTCCTGCGGAACCTGGTCTGGGTCGCCGCCGACGCCGCCATCTCCGCCGCCTCAGCGGCCCGCCGCCGTCGTCGTGGTCGTGGGCGTCCGCGTCGGCGTCGCCGCCTTCGTCGCCGCCGTCGTCGCCGCCGTCGTCGTGGTCTTCGCCGTGTGCGGGCGGGGGCAGCTGGAGGGGGCCTCGCATGCCATGACGGGATCTCCTGTGCCGCACCGGACACCCGGGGCCCCCCCGCGGGCTGGCCCGGCCTCTGGCCGGATCTCGCATGCCATGACGGGCTCTTCTGCGCCGCAGTGGACACCCCGGGCTCCCCCGCGGGCCGGTCCCGCCCCAGAGATTCCCCCCCATGGGGGTCGAGAGGCTCTGGCCTTGGCCCCGTCGCGCCGCCCGGCTTCACGGCGGGCGTCGGCGCTGGGGCGAAGACGGGGTGCCGGCCCAGCATCCTCCTCCCCAGACCCCCAACGTCATGAGTTCTTCGTGGCGTGGACCCCTGTCGGCGACTTCGAAGGGTGGGGTTTGCAACGGGTGTGGCTTGCAAGCAGCACTCTGGGGGGCACCCTGGGGGGCGGGCGAGGACCTCGACAGAGCTCTCCACCGCGCTCCGAGGCGGCCCGACGGGGCCACAACGGTGCCGATCGCAAACCACACCCCGGCGCAACCATACCCCGTGTAATCGCCGATACTGGAGGTGTCAACCTATTTCCCGGGACCAGTTTTTCATCCCGAGTCTTGTTTTGACGGGCCCAGGCTCCGTAAGGCGCCCCAGAGGCCTTGCGACCTGGCGTCGCGATTTCTGCCACGACGCGAGGTCTGGGTCTCAGCACCCGTCTCCGAGCAGCGCGCTGCGAAGGTCCGATCCTCAACGAGGCTGGCTTCTCGTCCTGAGAGACGTCTCTTGACCGCACCCCATGGGGCCCTGGAGCGGCCCCTGCCAACGAAAGCAAAGGACATCGAGCCAAACTTCTTCGTGTTAGGTCGGGCATGTCCCCCTACGGGTGGATTCTGGACGAAGAACACAACATGGTCAAACAATGCTCCAACAAAGTCAGAAATAGTACAGCCATCGTCCCGTGACCATGTTTGAATATTCCTCCTGTAGAGGGACAGGCCCGACCTGATCTTCGCATCACCAGTCACTTCGCCCCCCTGGGCCCATCCAGGGTGCCGCTCCGGCCAGGACCACAAGGCTTCTCTTCCACCCGTGGCGACGCGGGCGGTCCCAGATGCACAACAGATGGAAGGAGGACGCCTAGAAACCTGGGCACTAAAGTTTTTCGCTCCACGGGCCCCAGAAATCTCGACCCGTTCCTTGGGTCTCTCTCGTCGTCCCGGATCAGTGCTTGATGGCCCGGGCCCCGAAGGGGGATCCCAGAAGCTGACATGAGGAGCTCGACCACAAGAAGCCTTCCACAAGAGACCCAACCCTGGACCCCCAGGATGTACATTGATTCTTCGTGTGGGATCGCCGCGCTCTCCCACAGCAAGACCATCGAAGCCCAAGAGACCAGGGGCACCCTGGAGGCGAGCAGGGTGATCCTTGGCATGGGTGTCCGCTGCAACGTGTCGCGCCGAGGCGAGGCCTCGGGCAGCACATCATTCAAGGGGCCCAGGAACACACAAATAAACAGACACAGATCCCAGGACTCCCCACATTGCCCCATCTTTCCTGGGTTCTCGTCTTCCCCCCCCGCTTCCCACAGTTGCCCAACTTATCATGGGAATCGCCGATGGATTGCGTCTGTGTGATTTTCACCCTCTCCGGAATCATGCCAGCACACGTAGGGAAATGAACTCTATACACCGACGCTTTGTCCGACCCTGAGCTGAAATTCGCACTGGAAAACGGATCTCGGTGTAAACGGGATCCTGGTGTATACATTGTTCGTTGCTTCCCTGGGGACGCGGGGGAGAAGTATACATCACACCACCCCGACGTCGTCCCGACCCTCAAAAAGTCGTGGGATTGAACAAGCAACCCGCCACTGGTAATGTATATGTTCCAGTTCCCGATGTTGTTCGCCCTTTCCCGACTCATGCCAGCAGCACGCGCTGCTCCAGGTCGGCGCGGACTCCTCGGATCGGCGCTGCGCCCCGCTCCCCAGCACGCGGAGTGGCGCGCCGGGGGCGGCGCAGGGGCGGCGCCGCCACGGTGGGGTGCGGCTCCAATCCGAGATCAGTTGTCGGCTACACTCAAGAGTGACCCTGGGTAAGACCTTTGGTGCGCGGCTTTTTGGGGGCCGCGTAGGGACCAAACCTGGTCGCGCAAGCCGTTGCTCATGCTTCACTTTCAGCCATCTGGGGACCCATCTGTGCCCGCACCAAAGGTCACTCCGGCGAAAGGTCACTCTTACGTCTAGTCGAAGTTGAGCAGGGACCGACCGTCCCGGAATTCCGATAGTCCTACCACGAAATGTTCTCAGAACCCGCACATGTTCCCAGAACAACAAGAACGAGGTTCGCAGAACATCAGCCCGATGTGATACAACAAGACAGACCCTGCCAGAACTGCTCCAAGAACATTTCGCGGAAACCACGAAAGGTTCTTAGAGCATTGCTTGGTAGCGCTACAGGCGAGCCAGGACGATTAGCCACTGCTTGATCCTCGGAGGACACTGTCTGCCACGTCTCGGCCCTGGCCGCGTCGAATCCGTGCTGAATCCATGTCGGACTCGTCGGATCCGAGTCGAATCCGTGTCGAATCCGCGTCGAATCCGCGCCAAACCCGCGTCGGGTCCGCATCGAGCCCGCGTCGGGCACAAGAGAAGGCACCAATTCGGGGGACAGGCGCGAGGTCCCCCGGAGATGTAACGCAAGGTGCGGAACTCCGACAGTCTGTGCTTACGCGTGTCACTGTTTGCTTCTCGAGGGTGGGCACGGCGCGACACCCCTGACCTTCCAGGAGGGCCAAAAAATAGCACCCGACTTAAAAACCTATCCCAAAGCTATTCTACGTCTTGGTTTTAGGCTGTTTCGCTCAGTTCTTTAGGCTTTTAGGCCTCCAGTGCTAAAACATAGCTCTCTGGAAGGTCAGGGACTCCAGAACACGTTCCTGACCGTGGCCCCTCCCACGAGAGCCACGCAGGTGTCCCCCCGGCTGCTCGCCAGGATGGCCTCCCACGGATCCGCCTGCGCAGGCGCGGGGGGGAGCGCGGGAGATGGAGGGGCGATGGGGGAGATGGATGTGGAGGGCGGGGGGGTCCCCGAGGGGATGTGGAGGGGGAGTCGCCTCCTCCTCCTCCTCCTCCTCCTCCTCCTCCTCCTCCTTCTCCTACTACTCCATCTCTTGATTCTACCCGAGCCCTTCCTCTCCTCCCACCCATCACCCTCCGCCTCTTCCCCCGCCGAGGCGGAGAAAGGGACGCAGCAGGGGCTCTGAAGGGAGCCGGGCTCCCGCGCCCACAGGGGTCCGCTGCGCTCGGGCTTACCGCAGGAGGCCTGGGCCATCGCCGGGAGAGCTGGGGTCCAAGGTCCTTGGCTCAGCGTGTCGCCGCAGCGGCCCCGGCGACACGAGGTGTGCCATGCAAGCGGCTACTTGGCGTGCCGCTCCGCCCCGCCCGGGCGGGAGGCTCGGGAAAGCGAGCTCGGGACGCGCTGACGGTGGGCAGCGGGGGGGGGAGTGGACAGAGCGCCGCGCCGAGGGGAGGTAACGAAGCAGGCATCGGCAGAGCGACACCCTGCTTAAGCAAGAGTGCCCGACCGAGGTCGCCTGCACGCAGGCGAGTGGCAGCCCCTGGCGCGCGGCGTGCCGACCGGCTGGGGGGCAGCGATGCGCGGGGACTGGCTCGGGGGGGGGGTGAGAGCCTCGACCTGAAGCGGGCGACGCTCTGCCGATACACATCGGCCATGGGCCCCCGAGGGCGCTTCCGCACGCTCCGGGGGGCGGGGTGGACCACACCGGGCCTCCCTCGGCGACGCGGGGCGCGATCTTTTGCGGGGCGAGGCCTTCCCCCCTGAGTCTACCCCCCCCTTATTGTTGCCCCGATCGCTGCACGCGATGGCAGCTGGCTGCGGTCGGCGCACCTTGCCTTTGCCACCGCGCCCCGCGCCCCCCCCCCAGGAAAGCGCGCCCCGGAGGTTGCAGTCGACCCGCATCACAAGGAGGCACGATGAGTAAGGACGCAGGGGCCCTGGAGGGCCACGTCGACGCTCTTCGGGCGGGGCGCGGCCAGCGAAAGCGAACAAGCATGGGCCGAAGGGGCAAGGAGTAATGTGGGATGACGATTGAGAAAAAAAGGAAGGGGAACGATTAAAAAATAGTTTCCCACATCGGGGGCGGGGAACGCTCAGAAGCAGGGCTCGCCTGTGTGGTCGTCACAGAAGGCCCGCCTCTGTGACGACCACATAAGCAGGGCTCCCCGTGTCGAGGCTCAAAAAAAAGGCCCGCCTGCGACGACCCCACACAGGCAGCGCCCCCCTGTGACGAAGCGCAAGGAAAGCACCCGCCTGTGACGACCACGCAGGCAGCGTTCCCTTGTGACGAGGCACAAGGGGAGGGCCCGCTTCTGTGACGACCACACAGGCAGCGTTCCCTTGTGTGGAATCTGAATGAGAGGGCCCGTCTTTGTGACGACCATACAAGCAGGGCTCCCCTGTGTCGAGGCTCAAAGACAGGGCCCGCCTGCGACGACCACACGGCCAGCGTTCCCCTGTGACGAAGCGCAAGGAAAGCGCACGCCTGTGACGACCACGCAGGCAGCGCCCCCCTTTGACAAGGGTCAAAGAAAGCGCCCGCCTGTGACGACCACACAGGCAGAGATACCCTGTGACGAAGCTCAAGGAAACTTCCACCGAGGGGGGGGCGCGCGCCCGAGGACGGCGGGGGGGGGGACGATTTTTAAAAATAGTTTCCCAGCCTGGGGCCGGTTTTTTCTAATCATCGTCCCTGGCGTCGCCGCGTGAACACGACCCCCCGTCATTTTTTATCATCATCCTCCATTAGGTCGGGCATGTCCCTCTACAGGAGGAATATTCCCAAATAGTCAAAAAATAGCCCAGGGACGTTTTTTTCTCCATTATTTTGGACAAGTTGAGAATCTGTTGTGCCTATCTTAAACTTTTCCTCGAAAATCCCCCTGTAGGAGGACATGCCAGACCTAAGGCAAGGATGCAATGGATAGCCTTGGGGAAGGCTGCCCATCCTTACTATAGGGGTTTTGACTGCCATCTGGCGAGGGCGAAGGGTCACTCTGACGTGCAGCCGAACGGAGCGGTCCAGATCGGAGAGGATTCGGGACCCGTGGGTTTGGCGCGCGGTCGCCACATCCGTGGACCGGGGCAGGCGCCCTCTCCAAGAATGCGGCCGGCGCCGCCTCGCTCGGCGGCGGAGGGGCGCGATTCCCCGCGGAAGCGGGACCCGCCGCCGGGCCTCGCGTGCGATCGCCCGAGACGAGAGGCGAGGCGAGGAGCAGCGGCACTGTTTTGGTCTGCGGGTCGAGGGCGGGCCTCTTCCGGGGTCAAGAGCTGGGCGGGCCGCGCAAAGCACTAATGGGGGAGACAGAGCACAGGCGGGAAGGAGCAGCGGCACACGAGGCGCTGGAGAGGAGCAGGCCCCCATCGAGGCCGCGGCGCGGCGCTCGGCGGCCCTGGCCGGGCCTCGGCGTGCCCGGGGGTGCTGCCTCCCCTCGGAGCGGAGGGGGGGCCGGCCGTGCCGGCAGTCCTGGAGGTCTGCGGCCGACCCGTATGAGAAGGATGCGCAGGAAGGATGCGAGGGCCTTGGAGGGCCACCCATGTCAACGTCCCAGACATGATGGCGTCGTAAAAAAATCAGGACGGGAAGGTTTTTCGCTATTTTCGGCCCCTGGGAGCCCTCGCCGGGCCTCGGGACCGTCAAAAAACGAGTCAGGACGAAAAACCGGCCCCGGGGAAAGGGTCTGGACTTCCAGGGACGCCGTCCTGAAAAAATCAGGACGTCGCATGTCTGGGGTGTTTCGAGCGAGGTCGGCCAGCGAAAGTCGCCGAGGATGGGCCGACAGGGGCAAGGATGCATGAGGGGCACCCTTGGGACAGTTGCCCGCCCTTACTAATTATGCGGGCCGACTGTATCACGACGTGCTCTGAAAAGCGGAAACGCGTTCCAGGAACTGAAGCACTGTCCTTAGAGCATCAAGCCGATGTGCTGCATCAAGACAGTGTCGGACAGACACGTTTTGAGAACACCTCGTGCAAACCCCGACAGGTTCTCAGAGCATTCTCTGGTGGGCCTGTCGGCACGTCAAGACGCCCCCGCCTGGATCTGCGGCCCACTCCTGCCTGGAGTCGCTCCCGTCGTGGGGCCGGCTAGGGCAGTCTCCGGCGGTGGCCAGGCTCCCCACAGCTTTTGAAGGCGCGCGCGGGTCACGTTGCGGGCGCTGCGCTGTCGATGAGGTCTCTCGCGCGTGCGAGGCGCCAGGAGAGAAGAGGGCACGGTGCGAGCCGACGGGTTCAGATGGTGAACCTTTTCTGATTCGGCGCTCCGACATTGGGCGGAAGGGGGGGGATGGGGGGGGTCTGGCTCTGGACCTCTGCTTAACGCGACTGATTGCAACAGTGCGTCCTAAGGTGGAGACCCCACCTGTCTGAAAACATGCGCCAAAAACATCAAAGATCTACTCCATGGGGGAGAGGGGCGAGGGGGGGGTGCGAGGGCCCGCGCCGATCGGCAGAACACTGAATAAGAAAACGATCGCATGGGGAAGATCTGCTTGGACCTTCGATGGTGTAGCCCTGCCTGTGTGCGGGGCGCTCCTGCGGTACGGCCTCAGAGGGCTGCAGCCTGCTGCGGGGCCTACTGCGTCCTCCTCACGCGGTGCAGTTGCACCCTCTCCATCACGTCCTCCGCGGTGGCCGTCTCGTTGTCGAAGTCGTACTTTTCCCACATCTCCTCCAGGGCCTTCAGCCCCATGTGCATGACGCTCTGCTGCGCGCTGGTCATGTTCTTCAGGTAGTCCTGGAACTCGGCCTCGGAGGCGTCCAAGTCCTGGTCAAGGATCTCGCTCTCCTCCTCCGCCTTCTTCAGCCAGGCCCAGAACTTCTTGGCCTGGTCCTTGCTCCAGTCGAACGAGGACCGGTCCGAGACCTTCCAGTCGGCAGGGAACTTGACCACGCGGCGGGTGAAGGAGCTGCTGGTGGCCAGGGACGCGGCGAGGTCCGCGACGTCGGTCGCGTTCTCGGGGTCCGTGCTGTCGATGAGGCGCTGGATCCGCTCCAGCTCCCTCTCCTCCGCGCTCTTCGGGCCCGCGATGAGCTCGTCGATCGCCTCGTCGATCTCCCTGTCGATGTCGCTGGTCGCCTGGTCGGCCTCGGCCATCCAGCGCCTCGCCTCGTCCGCAACGGGCCTCGCGGGCTCCGTCGGCGGGTCGCTCCTGGGCGCCAGCTTGCCCTCCAGGGTCCTGGCCCTCTGGCTCAGGGCCTCCCCGAGGTCGGCCAGCTCGGACGCGTTCTTCGGGTCGACCCCGTCGATCAGGTCCGCGACCCTCTCCAGGCTCTTCTCCTCCTCGCCCTTGGGCTTGGCGTCCCCGAGGTCGCTCGCCTCGTGGCGTGCCTCCCTCTCGAAGTCCTGGGAGGCCTGGACAGCCTCGGCCATCCAATTCTTCATCGCCTCCACTACCGCGGCGTCAACTTCAGACATGGCCTGGCTCGCGTGGCGGGCCGCCTTGCGCTTTGGCCGTTGCACCTGAGCCAGTGCATCCGCGAGGTCGGCCATCTCGGACGCGTTCTTCGGGTCGACCTCGTCGATCAGGTCCGCGACCCTCTCCAGGCTCTTCTCCTCCTCGCCCTTGGGCTTGGCGTCCCCGAGGTCGCTCGCCTCGTGGCGTGCCTCCCTCTCGAAGTCCTGGGAAGCTTTGTTGGCCTCGGCAATCCAGCTCCTCATGGCCTCCACAATGGTAGAGTCTGCCTCAGATAAGCTCTGGCTCGCGTGGCGGGCCGCCTTGCGCTTCGGCCGTTGCACCTGAGCCAGTGCATCCGCGAGTTCGGCCATCTCGGACGCGTTCTTCGGGTCGACCTCGTCGATGAGGTCCGCGACCCTCTCCAGGCTCTTCTCCTCCTCGCCCTTGGGCTTGGCGTCCCCGAGGTCGCTCTCCTCGTGGCGTGCCTCCCTCTCGAAGTCCTGGGAAGCCTTGACAGCCTCGGCCATCCAGCTCCTCATCGCCTCCACCATCTTGGAGTCCGCATCAGTGGCTGGCGTGGTGTGGGTCGATCGACGAACCGCCTTACGCTTGGGCCTCCGTACGACCTGGGCCAGTGCGTCCGCGAGGTCGGCGAGCTCGGACGCGTTCTTCGGGTCGACCTCGTCGATGAGGTCCGCGACCCTCTCCAGGCTCTTCTCCTCCTCGCCCTTGGGCTTGGCGTCCCCGAGGTCGCTCTCCTCGTGGCGTGCCTCCCTCTCGAAATCTTGGGAAGCCTTGCTTGCCTCGACCATCCAATTCTTGATGGCCTCCACCATCTTGGAATCCGCCTCGGACATGTCCTGGCCCGCGGGGTGGGCGGCCTTGCGCTTAGGCCACCTCGCCACCTGGGCCAGTGCGTCCGCGAGGTCGGCAATCTCGGACGCGTTCTTCGGGTCGACCTCGTCGATCAGGTCCGCGACCCTCTCCAGGCTCCTCTCCTCCTCGCCTTTTGGCTTGGCGTCCCCGAGGTCGCTCTCCTCCCTCTTCGCGCTCCTCTCCAGCTCCCGGGACGCCTCTCGGGGCAGGCGCACACTTGAGGGGCGAGAGCGAGGTTGCCGACGAGGGGCGGCCCTCCAAGGAAGGCCCCCGGACGCTGAACATGGCAGAACTGTCGTCGCAATGATTCCACGACATGGGGATGGCAGTGTCGCCCCGCGGGGCCTTATCGGCTTCTCGGAGGAGGAGGAGGAGGAGGGGGAGGAGGAGGGGGAGGGAGAAGGAGGAGGCGGAGGAGGAGGGGGAAGGAGGAGGAGAAGATGAGGAGGAGCAGGAGGCGGAGGAGAAGAAGGAGAAAGAGGAGGAGGAGGAGGAGTTGCACGCAGCGGGGCCTTGTCGGCCTCCAGCACCCACTCCTTCATGGCCTCCACCATGCGAGCGTCCTCCTCTGTCGGCTCGCTGCGCGCATGACGCTTGGCCTTGCGCACCTGCTTCGGCCTCCTCTCCTGAGCCAGGGCCTCACCGAGGTCGGCCATCTCGGACGCGTTCTTCGGGTCGACCTCGTCGATGAGGTCCGCGACACGATCCAGGCTTTTCTCTTCCGCGCTCTTGGGCTTGGGCAGGCCGAGGTCGCTCTCGTCAGCGCTCAGCTGCTTCTCCAGGTCGTGCGTCGCCCTGTTCGCCTCCTGCACCCACTCGCTGAACTCATCGGCCATCTTGCGGTCGACCGCGTCGCCAGGCTTGGTGTCCGCCTTGCCAGACTTCCTGTGGGGCTTCCTGATGTGGTTGCGGATGGCCTTGCGGAACGCGATGGCAGCCATGCGCTTCGAGGTCTCGTCGATGCTCGTCTCGTTCTCCGTGTCGTACTGCTTCAGCAGGTCCTCCAGCATCTGGAGCTGCTGCTCCTTCTTGGTCCTGGGGTCCTTCTCCTGCCGCGCCGTGCTCGCGAGCTCCGACATGACCTTCCTCAGCTCCTCGTCCAGCCCCTCGTTCGCCTTCTCCGCCCGCTCCAGCCAGGAGCGCATGCCGTCCTCGGGCGACGCCCGGACATCCGACGTCGTGATTGTGTGACGTGGCTCCCGGGGACCGGGTCTTCACCCTGACCAGTTGTTGTTGACGGCCCCGGGGCCCAGGGAGGGCTCCCAGAAGCCGCGGACAACAAAAACTGCCGTCGCGACGGAGCCACGAGGCGAGGAGGCCACAAAGAGGCTCAGGACTGCCGACAGACTGCCCCCGAAGGCAGCCGCCAGGCAGGCCTCCGCACAAGCCCCCAGGGTAGCCGTGGGACGGTCCTCCCAACCTCCTCGCGCCTCGCGCGGGGCTGCTCCCAGGGAGCTCCGCGACCCACGATTGGCGTGCCGATGCCAGGAAGGAAACACCCAGGCAGCCTCGCGCCGCGCAGGAAGCAAGGCGGGCGCTGCTGTGCATGCTTCGAGCTCGGGGGGGCCAGCGGGTCCTGAAGCCCAAGGGCTTTCCCCAGGGCCAGCGCTTCACCCCTCTGAGCTGTTGCCTGGCGGCCCCTGCCCTGGAGGCCCCAAGACGGCCCAGCACCCTCCAGTCGGGAGCGGCCAAGAGGGGGGTGTCCGAGGGGGGGGGTGCAAATCACGACGGGCGGCATGTGCGCGGCCCAGGGGGGGGGGAGGCCAGGGACGTGATGGAGTGAGAAGAGGCGCCATGAAATCTGGGGAAATATCATGGCCCAGGCCATGATATCCTCCCCCCCCTAGTCATCACCCCCCTCTCTGCCGCCCCCGAGAGAAGGAAGGGCGGGGCTGCTCTGACACGGCGGGCCTGCCCGGGAGAACGAGCCCCTCCCGAGCCCAAAGCGGTCCTTCTGTCACCGCCTGGACTGCAGGCGATCGGCGCCTTGGATGTCAATGCCCCTGCTTACGCCAGAAGTCTACGAGAGGGCGGAGCCTGGGCATGGACAGCCATCCGGCCTCTGGAGAGGAGTTGTTGATGGGCTCCACCACCACCACCACACGTTGGAGGGGGTGGGGTCCCCCTCCTCCTCCTCCTCCTCCTCCTCCTCCTCCTCCTCCTCCTCGGCCTCCTCCTCCTCGCCCTCCTCCGCCTTCCCCCCTCCAACTTATGGTGGTGGTGGTGGTGGAAGACAGGCTGATCAGTTGTTGCATCCATGTCCGGGACGCACAACGACGTACTACTGTTGTATGTCCCACTTGGAGCCGTGCGTGGGACCCGAACACGTAGACCAACCATCCTGTAGTATATCGTGTTCCGTCTGGTGGGGCGCCCGACACGGAGATAATACTCTCAGGGTTCTCGGCGCGCGCTTCGCCCCTGAGGGGGGGGGGGGGCGACGCACACGTATAGTATTAGTACGTTTGAGGTGGCGCCCCCTGGCAGCCGGCGTGGATGCAGCAGCAGGGATAGGAATCCGGAACACAAACAGATACCGATACTGCTACTCCCCAGACCTCTCCGGGGGTGCGTTTTGGCCAGGATTACGAGGCGCGTCCAGCGATGGCGACAAGGGCCTCCGAGGAGGCCATGAAAGGCGAATACGAGGCAATGGTAGCGGTAGGGATACCTTTCCCTCCTCTGAGAAGTCGAACGTCGATCCCTGATCCAGGACCCGCTTCCCTCAGGCCCCCCTGCAATCGTGGGGATTAGAGGCCTCCTAGATGGCATCGGAATAAATGGTATCGGATGATCGCGCCGCATCGCCGATACAACGGCGATCGGCGACGCATCGGCGATGCATCGTCGACGTGGGCGATGCATCGGCGACGTCGGCGTGAAGAGCATCGGGCTCCGCATCGAGCCGCATCGCCCATGCATCCACGATGCGGCGCGATCATCCGACCCCATCTGCTCGGACACCATCTGGGAAGCCTAGAACTCCCTCCTTTGAAACATCAAACGTCGATCCCCGATCTAGGACCCGCTTCCTCAGCCCTCCCGCCGATGTCCCACCACCACGAGAGTTCGTCCTAATGGTGAAATCAGACACCACGCAAAAACACCACGCAAATACACCACGCAAAAACACTACGTAAAAACACCACGCGAACGCTGAAGGGTGAATTAGACATCACGCAAATACACCACGCAAAAACACCACGCAAAAACACCACGTAGCGGTTTTGCGTGGTGTTTTTGCGTGGTGTGTTTGCGTGGTGTTTTTGTGCGCCGCTGGGGCGGCGCGGGGACGCAGTGGGGCAGGTCGCGGTTCACGTGGTGTGTTTTTGCGTGGTGTTTTTGCGCGGTGTATTTGCGTAGTGTATTTGTGCGCCGCTGGGGCGGCGCGGGGACGCAGTGGGGCAGGTCGCGGTTCACGCGGCGTGTTTTTTTGTTATGCGTGGTGTTTTTGCGTGGTGTATTTGCGTGGTGTTTTTGTGCGCCGCTGGGGCGGCGCGGGGACGCAGTGGGGAAGGTCGCGGTTCACGTGGTGCTTTTGCGTGGTGTTTTTGCGTGGTGTTTTTTGCACCGCTGTGGCGGCGCCGGAGCGCCGTGGGACAGGTCGCGGTTCACGTGGTGTGTTTTTGCGTGGTGTTTTTGCGTGGTGTATTTGCGTAGTGTATTTGTGCGCCGCTGGGGCGGCGCGGGGACGCAGTGGGGCAGGTCGCGGTTCACGCGGCGTGTTTTTCTGCGTGGTGTTTTTGCGTGGTGTTTTTGCGTGGTGTATTTGCGTGGTGTTTTTGTGCACCGCTGTGGCGGCGCGGTGTTATCGTCCTCCTCCTCCTCCTCCTCCTCCTCACCTTTCCCCCGTCATCCCGCGCATATTCCCCCTCCTCCCAACCCTCCTCATTATCCTCTTCGCCCTGCTGATCCGCGTGGTCTCTTCCACAAGCCCTGAGGCCTCTTCCCAAGGCCAAGAGGCCCCGTGCAGAAACGAGGAAGCCAGCACTAGAGGCCCCAAGCCCTCTTTTAGCTTCCCGAAGGCCTCGCCCAGAAGCCAAAGTGCTTCCCCTGAGGGCAAGAGGGCTCCCCCAAAAGCCCAAAAGCACCCGAAGCCCTGAAGCTAGTTCAACCACTGAAGCCGCGTGGGCGGGCGAGAGGAGTGATGCCGTGTGGTGTGTGGTGTGGTGTGATGTGGTGTCGTGGTGTGGTGGTGTGGTGGTGTGGTGGTGTCGTGGTGTGGTGTGGTGTGGTGTCGTGGTGTGTGTGTGTGTGTGTGTGTGTGTGTCTGGTGTGGTGTGTGTGGTGTGGCGTTTGTGTGTGGTGGTGTTGTGGTGGTGTCGTGGTGTGGTGTGGCGGTGTCGTGGTGTAGTGTCGTGTGGTGTCGTGGTGTCGTGGTGTGGTGTGTGTGTGTGTGTGTGTGTGTGTGTGTGTTACGTTGTGTTTTACGTGGTGTTTTTTTGTTGTGCGCCGCTGGAGCGGCGCGGGGGCGCAGCTGGAGCGCCGCTGCAGCGCCCCAGGAGCGCCGTGGGGCAGGTCGCGGTTTACGTGGTTTTTGTTTTGGCGCGTAGTGTTTTTGTGCGCCGCTGGAGCGGCGCGGGGGCGCCGTGTGCGTGCGCCGCTGGCGCGGCGCGGGAGCGCCGTGGGGCGGGTCGCGGTTTACGTGGTGTTTTTGCGTGGTGTTTGCGTGCGTCGCTGGAGCGGCGTAGGGGCGCCGTGGGGCAGGTCGCGGTTTACGTGGTGTTTTTGCGCTGTGTTTGCGTGCACCGCTAGGTCTCGGTTTACGTTGCGTGTGTTTTGCGTGGTGTTTGCGTGCGCCGCTGGAGCGGCGCGGGAGCGCCGTGGGGCAGGTCGCGGTTTACGTGGTGTCTTTGCGTGGTGTTTGCGTGCGCCGCTGGAGCGGCGCCGGAGCGCCGTGGGGCAGGTCGCGGTTTACGCGGTGTTTTTGCGTGGTGTTTTTGCGTGGTGTTTGCGTGCGCCGCTGGAGCGGCGCCGGAGCGCCGTGGGGCGGGTTGCTGTTTACGTGGTGTTTTTGCGTGGTGTTTGCGTGCGCCACTGGAGAGGCGCAGGGGCGCAGTGGGGCAGGTCGCGGTTTACGTTGTGTTTTTGCGTTGTGTTTTTGCGTTGTTTGCGTGCGCCACTGGAGCGGCGCAGGGGCGCCGTGGGGCAGGTCGCGGTTTACGTGGTGTCTTTGCGTGGTGTTTGCGTGCGCCGCTGGAGCGGCGCCGGAGCGCCGTCGGGCAGGTCGCGGTTTGCGTGGTGTTTTTTTTTGTTTCCGCGTGGTGTTTTTGCGTGGTGTTTGCGTGCGCCACTGGAGCGGCGCAGGGGCGCCGTGGGGCAGGCCGCGGTTTACGTTGTGTTTTTTTTGCGTTGTGTTCGCGTGCGCCGCTGGAGCGGCGCGGGGGCGCAGTGGGGCAGGTCGCGGTTTACGTGGTGTTTTTGCGTGGTGTTTTTGCATGGTGTTTGCGTGCGCCGCTGGAGCGGCGCAGGGGCGCAGTGGGGCGGGTCGCGGTTTACGTGGTGTTTTTGCGTGGTGTTTTTGCGTGGTGTTTGCGTGCGCCGCTGGAGCGGCGCAGGAGCGCAGCTGGAGCGCCGCTACAGCCCGCTGCAGCGCCGCTGCAGCACCCCAGGAGCGCAGTGGGGCAGGTCGCGGTTTACGTGGTGTTTTTGCGTCCGCTCCAGCGGCGCATGCAAACACCACGCAAAAACACCACGTAAACCGCGACCCACCCCACGGCGCTCCGGCGCCGCTCCAGCGGCGCACGCAAACACCACGCAAAAACACCACGCAAACACCACGCAAAAACACCACGCAAACACCACGCAAAAACACCACGCAAAAACACCACGTTTAAGGTATTTTATTTCACCATTAAGGTATTTCATTTCACCATTAAGGTATTCTATTTCACCATTAAGAAATTCTATTTCACCATTAAGAAATTCTATTTCACCATTAAGATTTCTATTTCACCATTAAAACGCTTATTTCACCATTAGGAGAAACCGTCCACCACCACTACCATAGGTAAGACGGGAAAAAGGGAGGATTGGGAGGTCCTCCTCCTCCTCCTCCTCCTCCTCCTCCTCCTCCTCCTCCTCCTCCTCCTCCTCCTCCTCCCTCTCCTACCTATGGTGGTGGTGGTGGTGGAAAATCCGCTCGTCATGCACTCGCGGGCATGTCGAGACCACCCCGCGCCGCCAGCCGCGGGGGGCGGCGAGGGGAACAGCTGGGGGCCACGGGGGTTGGCCTCTGTGCGCCACCCCGGGACTTGCCGCCGTTTGCCGCCCCGAGGGGGGCCCCGGCTGCCTCCGGCGTGGCGTCCGGCTCGACCACGGCGGCGCCCAAGAACGCCTCCACCGAGGCCGACCAAAACAATGCTTTGCTTCTCTACGCCACAAACATGATATGCAGAGACGCCCTCCGACGGACGTTGCATGAACCTTCAGGGATGGCGGCGGTGTGTAGCTTCGCTGGCTCCCAGTAGTGATGTATATACACCGCAGCGCTCCCCTGAGGCCCAGGAATTACAATGCTCTACTGGCGGCGAGCGAGGGGGGGAAGTGAGAAGGAGAAGGCCTGGCTCAGAAGTCCCCCGGCCTTCTATTCTAACAGGTTGTCCGAGCCTTGCCCGAACAGAGACAAAAACCTCTCGGAAGGCGCGAGGGCTTCTGAGAAGTCCCGCCGCCTTCTGAGCAGGCCTGCTCCCTCTCACCTCCCCCCCTCGCTCGCCACCGAGGTCCTCGTCTCGCTTCGATCTCGCTCGGAGGCCCTCTGGCACGAGCGCGGCCCGACCGGCTGCCCCACAGCGGCGCCGTGGCGCAAGCCCGGAGCCGTGCCTCGGCCAGCGCGGCGGGCCCCCCGAGTGACCACGGGAAGAGGAGGAGGAGGAGGAGGAGGAGGAGGAGGAGGAGGAGGA